GGTAAAATGTAAACAANTTTNTNTTCAAATTTTAATGAATGAAATTTTACATTTGCTTCCATTTTCCTTTCGTCNTAAGTTCCATTTTCTGTCTTTTTTTTTAGATTCTTTAAATTATGTTCTAAAATGTAAAATGTAAACAAATTGTTTTAAAAGTTTAATGTAAACAAACAATTTTGTCAATTTGTCATTTCGAATAAGATACATAGGAAGATCCTCGAGACATATATATATGGCTTATATTGGTTGGCAAAACTTAAATCTAAAAAAATGGGAAGTTGTGAGGGTCAAGAAACACATGTCCTAGACCATCATTATTGATGATCTTTTGTGAGTATCATTAGTTATAAAATTATTAAAACACACATCATTATTGATGATCTTCTTTTTACTCAACTTTATACTTTCTCTTTCATCATTTTATTCAACTTTTATTAATTTTATATTTAAACACACCCCAACTAAAGTTTAAACTCTCCCCAAAAGTATCAACCCATTGATACAAAGACACTCTTCAAAAGTATCAACTCATCTCCTCTTTTTACTCAAATTTTATTAATTTTATATTTCAATATACTCCATTATTTCAACCAAAAACATTCTCTTTCTTCCTTTTACTCAAATTTTAATAATTTTATATCTAATGATACCCACCAAAGATCATCAATAATGATGCTAAGAGCATGTTTATGGGTGAACTTTTGTGGGTTTCTTTAAATATAAAATTATTTAAATTTGAGTAAAAGTAAGAAAGAGAGTGTTTTTAGTTGAAATAATGGGGTATATTGAAATATAAAATTAATAAAATTTGAGTAGAAAGAGNAGATNGTNGNTATTTTTGGAGATNNAGTATCTTTAGATAGAAACTTTTGAAGAAAGAGTTGGGTATGTTTAAATATAAAATTAATAAAAGTTGAGTAAAAGGATGAAAGAGAATGTATAAAGTTGAGTAAAATGATGAAAGAGAATGTATAAAGTTGAGTAAAAGGAAGAAAGAGAGTGTTTTTAATAATTTTATATTTAAAGAAACTCACAAAAGCTCACCGATAAACATGGTCTAATGGTAACACTACCATTCCAATTAAGGTCACATCAATCCTATGCTCAAATTCGCCAAACAGCACTCACCAACGAGCCTCCACTACACTCTCGCCACCACTGAGCAAGCCCGTAACCTCCTCTGCGCCGCCACCATCGACGAACCCCGTAGCCCGTTGGACCTCGCTTTCTTCTCCGATGGTCTGCCTAAAGACGATCCAAGAGCCGACGAATCTGTCCTTGAGTCATTAAGAAATGTTGGACACAAGAACTTGTCTAAAATCATCGGAGAAAAGAGATTCTCTTGCATCATCTCTTCACCTTTTACTCCATGGGTTCCAGCTGTTGCAGCTGCTCATAACATCCCTTGTGCAATCCTCTGGATCCAAGCTTGTGGAGCTTACTCGATTTATTACCGTTACTACAACAAGACCAACTCTTTCCCCGATGATCTCGAAGATCTAAACCAGACAGTGGACTTACCAGCTTTACCATTGTTGGAAGTCCGAGATCTCCCTTCGTTTCTCTTACCTTGTTCAGGAAGTCACTTCAGTAAGCTAATGAAGGAGTTCACCGACTGCTTGAGAAATGTGAAATGGGCTTTGGTGAATTCTTTCTACGAACTCGAATCAGAGATAATCGAATCGATGTGTGATTTAAAACCGTTAATCCCAATCGGTCCTCTGGTTTCTCCATTTATGTTGGGAGCTAATGAAGATGAAACCCTAGATGGGAAAAATCTTGACATGTGGAAATCAGATGAGTATTGTATGTAGTGGCTTGACAAGCAAGCTAGGTCTTCGGTTGTTTACATATCTTTCGGAAGCATACTCAAATCATCGGAGGATCAGGTCGAGAGCATAGCTACGGCGTTGAAAAACAGAGGAGTTTCATTTCTATGGGTGATAAGGCCTAAAAAGCGAGGCGAAAACGTCCATGTGTTGCAGGAGATGGTCAAAGAAGGACAAGGAGTTGTCATTGAGTGGGGTCCACAAGAGAAGATACTGAGCCACGCCGCGATCTCTTGCTTTGTCACGCACTGTGGGGTCCACAAGAGAAGATACTGAGCCACGCCGCGATCTCTTGCTGGTGTTCCGGTGGTGGCCTATCCGAGCTGGACAGATCAGTCGATTGACGCGAGGTTGCTTGTGGATGTGTTTGGAATCGGAGTGAGGATGAGGAACGACGCCGGAGACGGCGAGCTTAAGGTCGCAGAGGTGGAAAGATGCATTGAGGCCGTGACGGAGGGATCCGCAGCCGAAAATATGAGGAGGAGAACGGTGCAGCTGAAACACGCCGCAAGAGTGGCGATGGATCTTCGGCTCGGAATTTTGACTCGTTCATCATAAGTGATATCACAATCAGTCGGTCACCTGACTATCGTTATTCAACTCGTAACTTTGCGTCAGTTTATAATTAAACTCGAGTTTTTAAGAATAGTATTCTTCTAAACATACTAAGATACTAGATAGTAGATACACACGGGTTTTTCTATATATACTCAACAATTACCCGCGTTATACTCGGAGTAATACAGTTACCGAG